ATATCCGATCACTGGGAAATATGCTGGTCCATTAGATGAAGTGAATCGTCAGCGAGATATCGAGCAACTCCCTTTCCATGCTCCAACTCCTTCGCCATATAAACCCGCGTCAGGCACGACTTCAGAGCGCAAGCAGCACCACGCATACGTCTTTGAAAGACGGCGACACGGTGGGGACGAAGAGGTTGTTGAGAAGGATCGAGTTCGACCTGAATCATATGGAGTTGATTCTACATTATACGAGGGCGCACTTGAATCTACTTCTCGCCATTCTGAATTGCCTTCCGCGCCGTTGCGGGATCATGCGCAAGTATACCATAGTGGGCAGTCTTGGGATGTAACTAAAACTGGGAAGACTCCTACCGCTGTCAGAACAGAAGTCGATCAAAATGCGGATAATAAGGCAGCTCTGCATCTGAGAGGTGTTCCTGTGAAAGAAGAGCTACCTTCTGCACCTGCATTGGATGCAGAAAAAGAGCGAGGCTTTTCAGGATTGACACCGAGCACTTCTGGAGGGAAAACTGATTCTTTGGAGCAGGATGAAAGCCGAAATGCTTCTAGACCATTCGCATTCTGGAAGTCTAGGAATCAACGTGAAGGACCTTATGAAAGTCCTGAACATCTGAGAGCAACTAAGAGCGAGGAAGCTCAAGAAAGTATTGATCGTGATGGTGGCACTTCGAAAGTTCCCTTGAACACTTCTTCTCAAGTCAGCGATAGAAAAATTCTTGCTGGTTCATCCGGATCCACCAATTCACGCACGTATCTCTTCAGAAGATGGCGTCGTGGTGATAACGATGAAGTCGTTGAACATTATGAAATCGGTCCTGCAACATCAACGTCTTCTACATCGTATGAGGGCTTCTCTGAACTTGCTAGTGTTCCATCCAAATATTCTGCAAACTTGAAAGATGATATTCACGCGACTCTCCGCGGACAGGTTGTAAACACGGTTTCAAATGCTGCCAGCTTCAACAAAGATGATGTTATCACTCAGGAGCGTTCAGAGGACCGAAAACATCCTTCATGGGCTCGCTCCTGGGACGTACAAAGGTGCACTATTCATAAAGAAGCTGTAACGTCGTACCTCCATGAGGATTCTTCTCGTCATGACTTGAGTACGGATTCTGAACATGCTATACCTGTTGCATGTAGTCATACAGGGCGTCTGGAAGGAAGAACAGTACAGGGAGATGAATGGGTAGAAGTTCGTGTTGATCGACGTGCCGAGGTTCAACTTGAGCCTGTGCTTTGCTTGACAGGGGCGGGGTTGCGCGATCTCTCTGAGGACGAAGCTGGGATGATCTTCTCTGTTACACCACCAATGCCGTCATCTGATCGTTCGTTCTTCAGCCGACTCGGTTTCAAGGTCCGCTCTTTGTTTTTTGCCCACAATTAGGGTCATCCGCACGTTTCTGTTTCACTGCGCTGTAGCTGCTTGCTTTTGTACGCATTTCAGTTTGATATTGTGTTTGTGCTGTTGTTTTACCCTCTAATAATTTGCTAGCATCGCTCACAAATGAAAAAAGTTAGATGAGTTCTGTTTAGCGTGAAGGCAAGCTTCATCTTCACCTTTGTTGCTAGCTTAGAACATGGTGCTGTGGTGTTTTTTCTACTTCTGGCACATGACCCTAATTGATGTATGGGCGTTTGTGTCAGTGTGAATTGATACATTGGTGGAACGGTTTGAACCTTCTGATATTTTTATTTTCTTTTGAGAAAAATAGAAAAGTAAAAGTTGTGATGATCTCTTCATCCATGGTAGAAGCCTTCCTCCGTTGTATCAAATGTGTCTTTTCAAGGAATTTTAACCGATTGTTCAATTCTTATCATTGCAGAGCTCAGCACAGAAACCAAAGAAACAGAAGAAGGGTAAAAAGGAAACGGACTCGAGCGACTTTTCCAGTAGCTCGGAAGATGAGAAAAATCAGATTCAAGTTATACCAGTCGAGGTCAGTATTAACTTTCAATTTCTCTTTTCATTATGGATTCTTTTTCATTATTCGTTCGTCAGTAACATTTGATTTCTGAAATAATTTTTGATTAGACGTGCAGTTTTTGAGAATTTCTAGTTGTAATTCCAGCTGTGCTGTTTGCATAGCGCTTAACACTTGACGCTCTGTGAAGTCATCGCAGACGGAAGTGTTTGCAAGACACTAGAAGTAGCTTTCTCTCCTATTGACAAAGTTGACAAATGTTTTTAGGAACAATAAGATATCTCGTTATATCTGCGTGCCAATTTGACTAGGTTATGGAAAGCCCTTAGGTTCTTTTCGTAGGTAAATTTGTGAGGTAGAACTGAGTTCATATGGCTATTGGAGATCTAGAGAAGTTCTCTCCTTGACAGCGGATATTTTCAATGTACAGTAGAATGTATTCACCTCACCCAGGGCAATTCGTAGGGGCATTATAGAATGGTCTGGCCTCTGGTTTGGGTAGAATACTTTGACCTGGTGAAAGAAGTTTGAAGGAAAATCTTAAGAACCACCATCACACTTTTAGCTTTTTTCCTACTTCCCATGAGTGCTATGAAAACATTCATGCATCCTTTTTCGGCTTGAATCCCCGCCGCAAAAAAGTTCTTTTTCGTGCTGGTCCTTGGAGGACTAGACGAATTTATTGCTGTTCATGCTGGGTAACTTGCGCACTACATGAACTTCTTTTCAATGACTACGTAGATGTGCAGCGCTAGCTAGCTACAATCCTATGTGGTAGTGTCTGAGAATTCTTTCACGGTGCTTCCATGGGGGTTCTCGAAAGGGAAGCCTTAGGCAAAGAGGAAGAATCAGCTATGAGAAAATTTGACTTTCACTGAAAAGTTATGTGGGAAGATCTCCGATCGTTGCCCTTTTTACTGAACTTTCATTCTTGCTTCCTTTCTATTCACCTTTGCTGTTCACCTCTCAGGTCTATTGTGGATTCTAGAACTTTTCCCCAGTGTTTGTTTTTTTTTTTGTTTTCTTACTTTTGTTACCTGCACAGGAAACTAAAATCACGGCAGCACTTTTTATGGGCATGACATATCGAACTTCACCATTGCCATAACGCTTTAACTGATGTTGGATGGTTGTGGTGTATACATCTCCTTTACTAACTCTCGTTCTGTACCAGATCATTTCAGAAGTTTTTTATTCGAGAATGGGTAATTTATAGCTTCCGTATAACTTCATACTCACATTCGAGAGACTAAACAAATATCTTATTGTAAACTATTATAATTGTAGGAATCAGTAAGCCTGTAGCATAGCATGAATGTAGGAGGCTGGGATTGATGAAGACCATTGCATTTCTCATTTGCAGTCGGCTGAGCCATAGCAACCAAAGAGGAGTGCTTTGAAGCTAGTTTTGTTGCCCTGGCAAATTCCGCGAATACTCCAACCTTGAGAAATCAACTAGTACATTATCGCTGAATTTCTTTATTTTTTTCTTTGAAAACTATTTAGAAACGGACTTCTTATTTAAAGAGTGGAGGCGTCACTTTGCCGCACTACGTGGATCCAGATGAAAAAGATGGACGAGTTGTGCGACGAGAAACGAACGAACTCAAGTATCGTCTGAAAGGGGAAGGGATATCGCCGAATTTCGATCCGCAGAACCCGGTTCGCAATGGCTTGACCTTGGACATGCTCGTTTGCTTTCTATAATTCGATTTACTGATATACAAAACTACTTAGTTAAGTGATATACGTAGCTGACTTTCGAACAAGATGGTCTGTTTCTCTGAATGAAACGAAGGATGCACGTTTTGGCTATCGAGTCGTTCTCGTAAACGCTTTTGAATTTGTTCGTATAGCGCACGCATAGAATTATGAGGTTTATGTAGAATTTCGCTATCACTATACTATTTGTCCTTTCCTATTTCGGCTGCTCGCTGTTTGCCATTGCTGTGGGGGTTTTGGTGGGGGGTCGTAAAAGAGGAACGTTCTCGTCGAAAGAAAAAGACCAAAGAAAAATTCGATTCTTCAAAGTGAAACCCTAAACATGAATCGTAGCCCTTGAGTGGTCTATCCATTGAACATAGCGTTTTTCTCAGTGGATTCCACCCAGATACGTTCCCATCCGTTCAGAATTCCTATGAGAATCATGAGAATGAGAATGGTCGCGAGAAGGCAGAGAGCAAGGGCATTTGAGAGCCTGTCCTATTCGTCCATCGTTGCAGTAGCCATTAAAAATCAGAATTGCTCAAAATGAGGGTAATTGCTATTCATTGGGTGTCAAAGAGGAGAGAGTGAAATTGTGTTTTTAAACGACACTCATTCAATTTTGCCCCCAACATTATCTGGGATCTTGCGACTTTGTTAGGCTGGAAGGGTGAATTATAAACTGCTCCCACTATCGCTCCACTCGAATGAAAAGATGAGTAGAATCCCTTGACGTCTTAGGATATGATAGAATCAGGGATGATAGCTCGTTATTAGTACTTGTTTTTGTTTTGTGGATTGATGCCAGCCCAACACCCAGCAAATTAATCGCAGGCCCTCAATCAGCTGCACACGCACTGCATGAAAATCTAACGCGGTAGTCATAAATTTTTGATTTCGAAAATCGAATGCCCTTTCCGGAGTTGATATATGGCAATAATGATCGCTTTGCAATCCAGGGATTTTGTTGTTGCCAAAGAGCTTGTTGCTTTTTCCCTCACCCCTTTGAGGCATCCGGGAAGCGAAATTTTCCTCCCAAGTCCGGTTGTTGCACATTGCAATGTGAGGGTTTTGTATAGCTGGGTTTGCGATTGCTAAGGACATGTTAGTTGATGGCCTGGTGAGAGCACGTGCCTCAGTCGTTGGGGTTGGTTGACAAGGGAGTGCGTACATCTGGGCGCAATTTCGAACCATGGAGAAGTTCCTATAAATCCCAGCCATGAGTTTTCCAATTTTCCCGCAAAACGCCCACCGGCAAAGGGGATTTTGGAACGTCCTTACTTTTAAATTTCACTGAAAAGCATTCTATGTTCAATGAAAAGATCGCGCTAAGATGAAGAATACAGACGTAACGGGGCCAAAATTTCTTAGTTGTAAGGGTTTTTGTAAGTTTCGAGCTGACATGAATTATTAAGTCGTATTTGTAAACAAAAACAAAACGGCGAGAGCACGGTAGTTTACTGTTGGAGTGCTTTAGTCGTTGGCATCGACGATGGCCAAAGCGGAACGCCTGAATCTGCGTAGTCCGCGGCTGGAGCATGCGGAGCGCACTGTAACTGTGCGCGCATTGGCGCCATTGCCACTCTCTTACGAGGTATAGTAGTAGTACGGTCAAGTAGCTGCGTTGGTCGTCAGTGCTACAGCTTTACCAGTAGCTGTGTCATGGTCGATTCTGTGGACGAGTAAAGTGTATTGGCTGTGCTTCTTGCTTTCGTGTACAAATCCTTGTTTCTGTATGGCTGCAGTCATACTTTGCCTGTATGGCTGACTGCTGCTGGTTGTAAGCTGAGAGATGAGGTTCATTTAAAAGAGACGAAAAATGGATGTTGACGTCTCCTCTATATCTGAACCCTAGCTCTTCGTTCTAATGAGCAGCCGACAGCGTTCACATCGAGTATGGTAGCAATCATCGGCTGCGCAAGCTATTTTTTCATTCGTCTTGTGGCATTTTGTGCATCTTTAGCGCAATATAGCGCTTCGTTACCTCGTTCGGGGTCCCTCAGGCTCCAGCTCGGTAAGGATTTCCGATTTGAACGTGATCTTCAGTATGTACAGTATCTGCGAATCGTGCCTTGCAAGTGGCATGTTCTGAAAAGATTCCTCTCCGACGATTCTTCTACTCTACTACCTGTCTATCGGATCTAATGCTTTGACTTTACCACTAACGTCGTCTCACGGCATTGCTTAACGATAGCTTTTGTCAGCACAAGTCACTCTTTTCGGTTCCTAGCCTTCTTCCTCTTTCCTTGGGTAAATATATTCTATGCAGGAGAGTGGTCAGCCGCATACGACGATTTCCACCTGGCAGGAGTCTAGCCGCCTTCCTGATGAAGTAACGACTGAATATGATGAGAAGGGAAATAAAATCACGTAAGTGTGAATAGTAGCAGGAAGGGCTCTACCTTGGATTAACCGGTCCCTTCTGATTATGATTAATGTTTTCCGCCTGATCGTTGGATATTTTTGGAATTTCAGCCGAACACTGAAAACTTCACAGGTAAAGCATACGGTGCAAAAACAGACTTTCCAGAATTATGTCGTTCCAACGGATGAGCAACCGGTGAGTTTAGGCCCGTTCTGTTCGTTAAACCACCCGCAAGAGGTTGGTCAAGTAAGAAAATGCGTTCAGGGAGTTGTCACTGTGGAACACATCCGCGAAGAAACTACTCCGTTGAGTGCTGCTGCAGTAGCAACGAACGGTTCCGCTGGCTCGCCTCACGTCGTTGAAACTCATTCGCGAACTGTTGCATACGACGCAGGCCAGAATGAACATCACAATGAGGTTCGTCGACTGATTACAATTTTTCCTTTTTTTCCGAGATCAAATGATGGCGCTGATATTTTCAATTTTCCTATGAACTCAACGTTTGGACTCAGATTTTTTGTTGGAAATATCTGACATTGTTCTTTCATTGTATTTAATTACGTTCAAAATTGGTCTCTACAGTATCTCTTCTTTGTATCTGTATTTGTACAGTATAGGGACCGTCACGGTAGTTTATGGGTCGTTCAATGGGTTCTTCCCAGCCGTTGCTGTATATTTGGCGAGAGATTTATGAACCTGCATTTCAAAAGCAGTAACTATTGATGAGTGTCTTTCCTAGGAAAATGGCAAGTGTCAGGGACCTGTAGCTGCAACGAGTTCTTGCAAACTTTCTCTGATTGAAGGAAGTGCTCATTCCTTGAGTGATGGACGGTTTGCAAAAAAGCTTTTGTTACAAGATATTCTCGGCCATGAAATTGCTGTCCTCAGCCAGATGTTCCATGAAATATGGTTCGAGCCTCGGCTTTCGATCTTGGGTTTGACGAAGACTCAAGAAATAGGTTTCCAGTAGAAAGAGACTGTTGGTATCTGACCACTAGTAAGGCTCGGCTGGGAATGGTTGTAAGGGGTTTCGAGCTATCTTGACAATTTTCTCGCTGCATAATTTTTTCATAAAAGGGATTCAATTTTTTGAAGTTGTTAATTTTTATGTTGTGGTGAAGATTTTCCTCAAAAATGCCGCTGGTCCCAACAAATGCTATCTCAGAAGGAAGCTTGGTAGCCTTCACTAAGTACAGACATCTGATTGATGAAAGCTTTTCAGGCGCTCGGTGAATTCGTGTCCTGCAAAACGCTTACGTCAGGCAATCGAACCGTGGAGACATATACCTACAAAACAGAACGCGACGGTATCATTGAAACCCACGTCGAGCATCGTGTAACAATCCATTCTGATGAGCCAATCGACCACGACGCTGTAAGTTTCTTTTTCGTTATTTAGATTTCTTGACATACTACTTTAGGAACAACTACTTTATTGGTTACTCCTAATCACTTTTTATAAGACTTCAGTCATCGCTTGTCAAGGTTAAGGAAAAAACCAATTTTCATTCCATCCGAGGTGAAATTCGAGCTATTCCTATGCCATCCAGCTTCGACGAGTCGACCCTTCTGAATTTTGACCAAGCAGAGATGCTAGCATTTTTTATCCTTGCGGTGCACAAGGGCTTTTGAAGAATTTTCTGCTGCAGAGCTCGATGAGAGCTGTCTGCGTACAGCTTTTTTGTGACCCTTAACATCAAGTACCTCCGCTAAAATGATGCCGTTCATTGATTTCTTTACAAAACACTCGGCCTTCTCTGTGAATGATGAATTCTTTTGAAAAGCTCTCTGGTACAACGGGCGGCTTTGCAAAGTACTCGATGAACAATTGAACGGGAAATGTTGAACCCTTTTCATTGCGAATTGAAGCCTATTGCGATTTTTTTCAATTTTATTTCTATTTGTAATGGTTTATTATGATCTTTTGATCAAGGTTTTGCCGTCATTTAGCCACCCGAGTATAAATATGACTTGATTCAAAAGAGAGAGAGGACAGAGTTCTGAGGAAGGCTCGAACCCGTATCACATGCTGGCTCCTCCTGTATCTACTTCTGAATCAACAGCGTGAATATTAATATGAAAAATAGATTTTCGGTAAAAATTCTGGGCCTGTAACGTGGTTATATTTCTTTTGTTCGCGACGTCATCATCAGATCATCACTATTTATTTCATTTTTTCATCTTTCATAATTATGAACTGGTTTCATGTGACCTCGGTAGACAGAAGTGAAAAAGAAACTGATAGATTCTTCAAGTTGAATTCCAGTGAAGGGTGCCCTCGTGTACTGGAACGATAGCTACAGTAAGGGAAGATTCAACATGAGAAATATCATGTTCACTTCAAAATTTCAGCATTATTTTTTCGGCTATTTGTTGTTTTGGCTATCTGTAAACATATGTTAATTTATTGTTGAAAAGCATTTCCTGAAAAGTTCACAAGTCTAGTTTTTTCCAGAAAATCCCGAAAAACTTTGGACTTCTGAGATTTTTTTTCAGGGAATTCTGGAGTTTCGTAAATCCCAAATTTCAAGTTGTAGGGAGTCTTTTAGCTGTCCAGAAGCCCATGTATGCCACCTCCAAGAGAATAATTTCCATTTATACACGGCATCAACTCTTAACAGAATGTAATAATTGGCTATTCTGAACAGCTGATTTTCAGGAATTGAGCCATGCAATCATGGAAGCGACTCAAATGAATCCGGACATGACCGTGGAAAAGATCGAAGTTCGTCAAGAGTCGACGGCATAAGATAGCGATGAAATTGACGTGGTGTTTGGTTTGATATTTTTGCGTAATTGGTCCGTATTTATGGACCATAACTTCACTATCCGATTACGGCTGCATTCACCGATTAATACTGTGTGATGATGATTAAAATAATGCTAAGAATGAGGCAAATGTATCCCCGAGCCTCCGTTGCGCATTCATTCCTTCTCTCTCTCTCCTCCCTTCGTATAACTGTATTGTTTTCCGTTTCGTGCTTTTGTGTTCGCATCATTTGCGACGAATATCCCCGTGCTTTTTTTTCGGCTAAATGTTGTTGTGTTTCCAGTTTTTTTTTCTTTTTTTTAAATGTTTCCTTTGTTTCCCCCACGCTATACCATAGCCTGATTCGAACGACTGCAAATAAGCTTGTGCGATGTGTGTGTGTGGGTATCGGAAAAGCCGTCATCGTTGAAGATTTCCGTGTTTTGTCCGTGTCTATCAAACACCCATAACAGACCTGCTTCGGCTATATAACTGCTTGTTTAGATGTGTATCGCTGGTGGTTGAGCTATGTGTATGTGAATGTGTATGCTGTAGTAGATGTACGTACGTATACGCTCGCCGCTTTTTGTGTGTCGTTGGTTATCTCGTCGGTTTAGCGTCGATGTGTATCCATCCATATGTGTTTCTTCTTCCCCCCATCCCCAAATTGTAGCCTTGTTTTCTTTGCTGCCTTCTGTCGTCTACTATCCGATTACCGTTGATATTATCCCGTCTTTTATTGATCGATTTTGGCAGCATGTTTTGTTGCGTAGCGGCCAATTGGTGTGTCTCTTCCCCCTGATCAGCGTCCGTGCTGATCAGAGTATAAACGACGCCAACGACAAGCGGCCCCAATTGGATATGTGTGTGCTTTTTATTTGAAGTTAGCAGCTATACCTATGTTAACGAAATAGTTATCTACACAGTTATATATCTTTCTTGCTGATAATACTTGCTTTATTGTGCTTTTTGACCATCAATAAAGTTCACTTTTACTAAATTGTGAGTGATTTTCAGAAATTTTATGCACCCACGATTTTCAAGAATTGCATCGGCGCTAATAACGTGTGCATGGCGTGGAACGCAGGTCAACCATTGCTTCCACCCGAGAGCCAAGAGGATACCTATAGGAGAAGGAAGCTTCAATGAGAGGCTGTTTAGATGCTTTTAGAGTACAACGAAGTGCATTGCCATTCAACCGACTAACCGGTCCACCGATCGACGACATTGTTAGCCACGTGTTGACAGCACTGGAAACCGGTCGATACCCCCACGTGGACCTGCACGCAATCTGTCCTGCGTTGTCAACACGTGGCCAGCAACGCCGTAGGTCGGTTGGCTGAAACAATGCAAGTCGTTGAACTCTGAAAGCACCCTGTCTTGTGAAAAGGGGAAGGGTGGGAGTCGTTTTTACAAAAAGGTCGACGGGTCACAGTTGTTGCTCTGAACTGGGTGAGTTGTTATTGAAAATTCGAAGGATTACGTGTTCATCCTGCATTGTGCGCCATTCTACTAGTTTAATCTTCTCTGAAGTTCTTATTCGCAGCCTGAATCCTCGCCGCCGCAAGGTCTTGGGTTGCTGTGTTACTCGTCGCCATATCCTTGTATTTGTCTATATTCTACCGTGAGCATGGTTTCGGCGATGTTTTTTTTCGACTACACCCTTCAACGTCCGCTCGGAGTTCCTGGCGATCATTCCCTTGGATTTCTAACTCCATCGCTTCTCTTATCAGGTGATGCTGTGACGTTCACGGATAGTACCTGAAACACTGCAGACGCCGCTCTTTCATCTAGGATCTAGAGGGGACCTGGGACGAGGTGGAAGAGAATTTTTCGAGAGAAATCGAACACGAATTTTCGAGAGAAAACGATTAAACGAATTACTTTCTCAACATACTTGATGTACTGAAGTCTCGATGAATGCATCTTCTCAAGGCGGAGTTGGAGGCGCACTATCAGGCAGACACACACGCTCCCGGGTTCAATATCGGCCCCGAATCGATATTCAGCTTGGCCAACAAAGCCTCCATTCCTCCGGCGATGACTAACTGGTAAAATACTCTTTTGGGAGGGTCAAAGCTGAGGGCCGTTTCGTATATCTAATGGCCACCGCAAGTCACTGTATAGTCACATACGCATTCAAAATGCCACTACGATTCTGAATAGGAGTCGAAATGCGGCGCATCCTTCGGAAGGGATTGATCGACGTCCAAAGACTTTATCTCAGACCTAAAGAGCACTGATTACTAGTGAATGTCGAGTGTTTGGCGGAACCACAGGGACTGATTGATTAGACTCGAAGCACCCTTACATATCCCTTAGCCAACACAGTAAACCTAGGGAATCCCCGAAAAACTAAATAGGCCGATTAAGAGAATATAGCTCGGAAGTGAATCTGCTTTCGCGGCACTTGACAGGAAGATAAAAACGAATGAGGACTCGGCTGTGTTTCTTTTTTATGTCGGGAAGGCTTTTCACACGTGTGTATCATTTCATTGAAAGCCTACCATCTGGTAGCGGGCTCCTTGTGCCATGTGTCACACATGTGGAACAAGAATTTCGGTCACATAATGTCAATCACACAATGTGAACGGGGTTGAAATTTTGAACCCTCAACGAAATTACGATCGTGGAGGGTAAACCAATTATTGAGGGGATCACCGAGTAGGTGTTATGTTGTTGATACCTAGGATAATTGTCCCAGTTCTCGTGCCAAAATCAGACATGAGGAATGTCTGCCTTTGAAACTTGGGAACCTTGCTTTGTGGCGCTGCTCAGATTGAGGTTTATAGAGCTACAAGATCAGTATAATCTTCGAAGATTCATCTAGTAGGAGGATGAAGTGGTCATCTTAAGCACATTTCCCAGCCGTGGAGGGTATGAGCATAGAGCAACTCCTTGCGCGTTCTGCTTTTTAGTATGCCCTCTTCTTGAAGGCACAGTTCACGATAAAAATGCTTTTTGAGATTCCCCCATAGGACGAATTCGAGGCTCCCTCGCATGCCATATCTGACGCTATCAGGTCGGAAACGTTAGGGAGCTGGGAAGGCTCAAAGATTAGCTCGTGTGTATGCGTAGACGAGTTTCACCGGCATTATAGAGGCTGCACCGCTCACAAGGGAACCAATGTAGGAAGTTCAAACAACTTGTCATGACCCACAGCGGCAGTGAAGGGCAGCTCTCAACATTTTTGGCTTAATGTAGTCAGGTCTTTGTGCAATTGCAACAACTGAAATCTCGTCCGAATACCCCTTCCATGTTATTTCCGTCATGGTATCTCGTCCAACTTTTATATTCCCTACTTTTGAGAAGCCTTTTTTTTNTTTTTTTTCGAAGTTGACGGTTTTTCTCGCTTTCTTCCCTATCAACAAACAATTCCCTACATATAGTTCCGCTTTTTGAATAAAAGGGGTACCTCAAAATTATCGCGAACTGTGCCTTCAAGTTGGCAAAGTTCCAGAAACTAGTGTAGTTGAGATAGTGGTTAGTTGCAGCGGTTACTCTCGTCATCCAAGTAGTTGTAGGTGAGTCACCTTTTAAAAATAGCAGATTCAGCGACAGGGCATTCATGCGGCCAGATCCTAAAGACCTCAGTTGTCGAGTGTGGGGATTTATGGGATTTCCAGAAGATCGGAAGCAATTTTTATTCAAAGGGTAAAGTTATATATGCTAAGCGGGCCTGTTTTCCTCGATATGTCATAGCTGCCAATCATTTTTAAGGGGTTCCACATGTAGACAAATGCCGGAAACTCAACGAGGCTATTATGTGAGATCTATCACATTGGTTTCCCGAGCAGCAACTTATCATACATAATACGGCCATCGAGATCGGTTGTCAATTGTCGTTTTCCGTTCCTATGTTATTTCCGCGCTGTATAATGTCCACAGTAAATCCTTCACGAAGTTCTATTTCATAACTTTCTCGGAAAAATTCATCCATCCAGAAAATTGCTGTGCTTATAACACCAGTCATAATTTAATCCAACATTAGGCTGTAAAAACAAAGTTTTGATGATATTGAATCGTCTGCTTATTGGTTTTGGTGACCCGCCACACACTCGCGTTCCGCTGGCCCAACTCCTGCAAAAGCGTGATTTAATTTGGTGCCATGAAGTTCACCTATCAAGGTATTTATGGTTAATGGAGCTCTGTCATGAGGTGAACTCTGTGTCGTCCCATTGATTATCGATTTGCTCGAGCGCGGCCGGCAGCGTCTCAGTTTGTCCCTGTAGCGAGTCAGTGCAGTCGAGGAGGGCCCTCCTAACCCCAAGGCATAGCATCCGGAGCATCCTATTTGTAATTATTATAAGAGGAGCTCGAAAATGTCTTACGATGCTAATCAAAGGAAACCGTAGGTGATATACAGAGAAGTATGAGTCGTTCAGAAGAAAGCGACGTAGCCACCAGAGTCGAAGTTTGAGGACCAAACCAAATCAAACCTACGAAGCTTTTCACCTTTTCGGGCTGGTGAGATGGTACCTGAGCCAAGCGGTTGGATGAAGACGAGGATAATTTTTATTTCCTAGGGTTCATAGATCTTTGCCTGAATCAATGCGCATTTCAGGGTACCCCCAGAACGAATGATGGATGCGCGACTATTTTCATAGGGAATCGTTCTTTCCCATTTGATTTATGTTCTATAAGACAAGCAAAAATTGTGCAATCACTCATTCCCCCGCATTGTTATCATTCATCTCCCAGAGACACCTCCTGCAAGGCTAAATTTGGGGTTATCTATGGCCCGATTGCCTTGTTGGGAATTCTTTCCAGCCACCCTGAAACACATTATTTGGCGTCATCATCTTTATCTATCTAAAGCTTTGTTACTATTTACTAACTAAGTAGCTATTAGCTCTGAAAGTTTGTGAGGTTTGGGAAGCCAAAAAGTTTTGGCTTTTCGGCTTTGGCGGTAGTTTGAGACGAAAGGAAACCATATTTTCAAAAGAAATTATAGGGTGCAGAGGATGAACGGGAGAGGAAAGGGACGATTGTGCTAGAGC